AACACGTCCCTCCTGCCCCAACACAGCCTCTCTGAATTCAGGTTACTCCACACCAGCAACTCTGCTTTGGGTTCAGCCAGTCTTTGGCCAGGTGACATTTCCCAGGCCAGCAAAAGCCAGCGCTGCCCTGTGAGTGGGAAGCACCCACCCATCCCCAGCAGTCCAGTCCTAAACCTTTGGAGCTGCTCCTAACTGGTGTCAGTGTCAGGATTAGCCAGCGAGGCAGGGAAGGGGATGCTGTCCTAGAGCTGCCTCTTTAAAACAGACTCCAGTGGATTCAGCTTTGGAAAAGGATGTTCTCAAAGCAGTGACAAAGGGCAAAATTTAAAGTAGCTTAAAATAAGACCTCCTAAGGCTCAGGAGCTTAAAGAACTTGAATATCCCAGTTTCTTTTCCTCCTTTCTTCCCCTCCAATATTTTTTTTTTTTTTTAAGAGATTGATTGCCAGGCAGGTCTTCCCAAGAATCCACAAACTCAAGTAATCATGAGCACTTTAGCCCTGTGAAATAATATTTTCCTTACATGGGCTACTATAAAAACAAGTTCTGCACAGTAGGCAAATTTAAAATAACTTTTAATTAACATTTCAGACACAGAAGTCTGATCATGCAAATTCATCTGCGTCTCCTCTCTGTGCCTGATTGTTCCTGATTGAATACGATAAAAATAGACTTTGTATGAGTCAAGTGTAGGCATGGATTTCTTTCACTTCTCCTCCCCTCTGATTATGCATTTTCTTTGATAAAGTGGAAATCCTTGAATGGCTATTAACAGTATCATGGGTCAGACTGGAAGGGCAGCCTGCCTGAGAGGAGGTAAAGATTTCACTGGAATTAAAGGTGGTCCTCCTGTGAGCAAGAAAGATACTTCAGTCTTACATAAAGCTCACCTGAGACTATCCAGCATTGTTCTGTCTCAGCTGACTTTTAATCTCTGAAATACCAACTCTAATTTCACTGCATCCCCTGTATCTCAGTTGAGCATCTGACCAGAGCCTATGGATCCATATTAATCTGGAAAAACCACATCTCACTTGCACACAGGAGATAAATAGTTGAAGGGAGACTGAGGAATTTCCCCATAATTAAGACGTGTCAGAAGACATGACCCTGTAAGTAATAAGGACTCTGGATAATGGAGGGCACAGTGATACCTTCATTTTACAACAGTAAGAGAGCCAGTTTTCCAGTAAAAAATCCTACAAAGCCTTTGTATCACAGTCCAGTTAAAATGTCAATATTTTACAACAGCTGGTGACTTGGCAGGTGCAAAAATCCACCAAAAATGCCACAGAAAAGAATGAGTCACAGAAAACTTGGGCATGGGGGATTAAAATACCTTTTTTCTATGGCATCTGACCCAGAGCCTGTGGGCATGAGCTGGTTGGGCACTTTGAGGAGTCAGTGCTACTTCTCTTTGGCTGAGTTTATTTATTTTTGCAAGAAACAATGTCACACGAAGAACACAACACTATATACAGGCTGAAGTCCCAGAAGAGCATTCCCTGGGTCACAGTCCTGCATTAAACCATTAAAAATGCCCCAAATAGCTGCCTTTGATGTTTACAGCGTTTCAGGGGATGCTCCACTTTAGTGGTTTCTCTCAGGAGACACTTCCCCAATGTTGGCTGCTCTCTGATGCTTTTCAGCTCGGGCACAGGTAGCACTGCAGATCAAGAAACCATTCACCATCACAAAGAAAGAGCTGGACAGGACCAGAGGAGGCCCCTGGTCCTCGCTGTGCCCGGTGCCTTGCAGGTAATCCTCATGAGTACCAGGACTGGCCATGCTGATGAGACTGGCCTTAGAGCTAACAGCAGACTTGAGTTCCAAATTATTTCAACCAGAGACTCTGGTTACCTTCCTCCCATGTAATTTCAGAACCCTTTGCTTGAGAAGGTGGGGCTCCTTCTTCTCCTGCCTTTCAGGGATGTGAAACCCACTGACATCAGTTTTCATGGAAGCACCCAGGAATTTTGGAGTTTTACCGAAGTATCTTCATTTTGTACCTTTAAGGATCTTCTCTGTCACTTTATTGGTCTTTTACCACTTCTCATCCAGCACTACACTTTGATGCCAGCCCATCTGGTATTTTGGATGGCCATTCACCAACACACCCCTGCTGGACGTGCCCTTCTGGCATTGCTGTGCTGTCTGAACTCGCACGTGGTCCACGCTCGCAGCCTCTCCCCCTGCCCTGTGCCTGGCTGCAGACGTGCCCTGACTCTCTTGACCATCACAGTGGATGCTTTCCTCTCTCCCATCCTGTTGTTAAATTTTACACAGCAACATTAATTCCTGCTGCTGAATACATGAGCTGTGACACCAGCATGGTGCAGTGTCCTCCTGAGCTACATTCCCATCCAGAAACGATTAAGTCTAAAACCACCCTGGCTGAATGACAGGTAATTTAAGAGCGCTATAGGGTGGGCCTTTGTATCTGTCTGGGATGAATACAGCTCCTGAGTTCCTCTCATCTGGCTGCTTGCCAAGAGCAAGCCACAGTTTCAGTTATTCAGTCTATTTTTGTTTTTACAGCAGCATCTCAATACAACTATTTAAAATAAAAATATACAATATCTCTCCAAACAGTCCGCAGACTTAAAAGAGACCCTGGGCTTTCTCACTCTCTGAGGAGCTATAGATTTCCTGGAAAGTGATTTTTGCTATTTTTTTTTAGAGGTGTTAAAATGCAGATCAGACTATTTGAGGACAGAGAGGAGATTCAGCTTAGGCTTAAAGAAACTCATCAGCCTGATGCTGTTCCCTCTGCCAGTAAGAGAAAAAACATATTATACTTTCATACTCACATGAAATTCAGCCTGGCTATACCCAGGAGTATATCAAAGATATTTGTTTCTATAGAATCAGAAAGTATTATTGTAAAACACCCTTGGTTTTCAACTCTTTATAGTAAGTCCCATGTGCCACTGTGTAAAGCCCTTTGGCCCTTGCAAAACTCTTTCTTCAGTGATTGAAATTAGAGAAAATAATGGTACACATCAACTCTGCTTAGAGGAAGAGTAGCATTTTCTAATCCATTTAACACAATTCTGTGGGTAATTCTCTTGATGGCTTTTATTCCTTCCAGGTTTAATACACACTGAGACATTAAATACTCAGAATTCATCTGAAAGAAAATTTCCATTATCCCACCTTCCATCAGCTTTGAGAAGTGCTTTGCAAAGCCATTAAAATACACCACATCTGGAGGGGATGCTGTGCTGCAGAAGGCACCAATGTGCTGGTGCAAGTCACCCTGACCCAGCTCAGCCTGCTCCCCAAAACCTCACCTCCCGTCTTGCATTTGGGGACGAGGGCCCCACGACCTGGGTCATGTGAAGAACCTGTGCTGAAGTGACATGGCCACTAGATGTCATTCCTTTTTCACTCAAATGGAGGGCAGGGAAGCATCTACCTGGCAGAATAAAGTCCCCACGCACACCAGGGAGCGGTGGCAGTGCTGTGCTGCAAGGTCCCCCAGCCCCACAGACACAAACCCCCTTCCAGAGAGAATAATTCTGTCCAGGCAGGAGAAGGGACCACGCAGCCCAAGAGCTGTGCTGTATTTTTATGGCTCTCCATAACTGTACCATACTGAAGGAGATCTTTAACCACAACTTCACAGCAGAAAGATTGGAGCCTGCACGATGGACACAGAGCACACGTGTGCTGTTACGTCCACTGGAGCAGCAGCACAGCCTGGGGATTGATGCCCAGACCTGAAAACATGTTGGGTGCCTGTTTTGCTGAGGAATTTAGTGCCTTTTTTTCTTCTTAGAACCTATGTCCAAGTCACTTTGTGAGAAAATGCTGTTTGGGAGCTGAGCATATCACAGCCCCAAGCCCAGCTCCCAGTGGGGATGGGGAGGAAGGAGCCAGACTCCAGAACTGACACAAATCCAGTTTGGGTCCACAGGGGCATAAACTGGGCTCTGCATGACTTCTTGAGTTCTGTGACATATCTGCAGTTCGTAAGAGTATAACTAAGGGGAAACTTTGGTCCTATGCTAATAAATATTTACAGACACTTTAGGATGGAATGAAAATTCAGAATAATATAAATAATAAAAACATTCCTCCAAGGATGTTCAGTGACTTGAGCACAAAGAAGCTAGATGTTCTGTATTTATAAAGATTTGATGTCCATTTAAGATACATCACTTACTGCTCCTTGTTGACCCTCATATGAATACAGACAGGGGCACACAAACATTTCTCATTTATTAGCATATAGACCTCTGCACTGCTCTGTGATTTCTAAATTGACTATGCACATTTCAGATGTTCTACATCTGTGGATTATGAAGGCTGGAATGAACCCGACCACATCATTTCACCTTCCAAATTTTCATTTTTACCTTAACCAGCTCTAAAAATTTGTCATTTGCAATCTCTATTTTTTCCCCCTTGCCCTCCAGGAATACCTTACAACATGTGAGACCAGAACAGAAGAAAACTGTACCAATAAAACTTAAGAAAAATCTTTAACTGATTAAAACCAAATGTACTGAAGAATGTCTACACATTTACTGCCAGCACACAGAAATACATCTGTTAGAGCTATCAGTGAAATACAAATTTTACCAGCTACCTGTTACCATTTAGAGTACTTACAGCCCTCTTGAAATCATATCCAAGCCATAAACCCCAAATACCTCTCACTACTCAGGATTTCACTCAGAAGTATTAATAACTCTGATATGTCTCCAGCCAATTTCTATGGAACAACTGCATCCTCTTGTGCAATCAGACATGGGCTGTTTGCCACCTTATTTCGGCTCCTTCAGTGCCCTGGCCAAATCAGTCACCAAATAGTTTTGCTGGTTCATGAATCAGTCTTTTCCTTTTTCCTTTTCCTCCCTTGAAAGTCTTTATTTCACACTTATCCATCAAAGTTCCTCCTAGCTGTCCAACCAGCTCGGAGAGACAGCAGATATCAACATCCATGAATAAAAACCATTTTCCCATGCATCACCCTGCTGCTGTGTGGATACTCACAGTGCTGGTGGTGAATTCAGGGGGGTTGTCATTCACATCTGTCACTGTAATGATGGCTGTGGCCGTGTTGGAGAGACCATAGTTCAGATTTCCTTCCATATCTGTTGCTTGAACAATGACTATGTACTGCTGAACTTTCTGGAAAAGAAAGAAAAAAAATTAAGAGAAGGAAAAGATGAGAGACAAAAATGCACCCTGTGAAACGCCTTGGTTTATTTTCCATTTACAAGTATGGTCTTGAAGCAGACTAAGAGGTTAATTGGATTAAAAACGTTAGTAAAAAAATTAGTTAATTTTTCTGTATCATTTTTGAAGTGATTTTTAAATAGATTGGTGGACATCATCTGTTTCATGGGAAAACAAAAGTCTTATGGGCAAAATTCTCTGGTTGAAGCTGACATTTTTATTAACTTTTAAGCATTTTCTGCAACATTAGCTTCTGTCTTCTGAAAACCAGTAAAAGTTTTGTTCATGTGTTTCCACTGAAAACATTGCTAAGAACATTATACCCCCAAAATTGACATCAACATTGCCTGGCGGCCCTCCAGCTCGTTCTGCTCACACAGTTTGATGCCCAAAAAGCATTAAAATGCTCTTTGTGTTTCAATCCTTAACACAATCTTGGTAAATAAGGAGAATTTAAGTCCAGTATGGAAGAAAAAACATAATTCAGTGCAATAAACAGCAGTTCAGCAGAACTAATTTAAATTCCTGAGCACCTCCTAGAACACAGCTCTCAAAGGAAAAAACCTCACAAAGCCAACCATAAAAATCACACACAGTGAAGTTCTAAAGGATCTGTAAGTCAATGCAACTGGGAAAAAAACCTGAATAAAATAGGAGAGGCCATCTGATGTTGCATGTGTTCATATATTCCTGGGATCTCTTTACTCAGGAATATCTGCCTGCATCAAGAGAAGTCTCCTGATCTTTACAACTGGCCTCAACAATAAATTTTCATTTAGACCTGCAGAATTTACTATTGATTATGTGTCTTGCTCACAGAGCACTTCACAGGCAGACAGGAAAGCAAAGCTCCTCTCCTGGAACGTGGGCAAAGGGAGGCATGGGAACCAGGGAAGGATCCAGCCAAAAGCTCAGCACAACCCTGGCTCCTTAAGGCTGCAGGAGGCACATCAGAGAGCCCCAAAGGTGTGTAAACCAAGTGGAGGCAGAATTTTATGCAGGAAAAGCTTTTTTGTGAAATCAAGTGGAGGGACTTTGATGCAAAGAAAGACCAACTACTCCCAGAACACAGCTCAGGTACCCAGGGCTGCTCCTTCAAGGTACCAATGCTACAAGTGTGTGTAAAATGTCAAATGTCCTCTGAAGTTTCAAAGGGCAAGAATTAGGTCAATTACATCTCTTTATTCCCATATAAACATCCTTGAAGTGCTGTAACTGGCTCTATTCTTTGATTCTTCTGAGTTGCCAGAATAAGAGGTCTGCATTCTAGCTTTATCTTGGTTCCAGGGCTTTTAATTGACCTGCCAAATTGACAAGACATCACACTTAGGGATCCATCAGCACCTTGGAACTGGAATATATTATGGAAATGCACTTTCATTATCTCTTTCTATCTTGTATAATAAAACATGAGGGAGAAACTATTGTTAGCCCTTGTTTTGCCTCATGCAAGAAGGTTCTGTTCATTACTCCATTTGTCAAGCACTGCACACGGCTGAAATGTCCTTATTAGTGAATGTAATTTCTCTTTCATATTTAGCTTTTCTTTCCTTATTCTCTGTTATAGATGACCTGGGAGGCTGATGGAAGTATTTCCTAACAGGCCAAATACTTTGGTTTAAATAACAGAAGGTTTAAATCATAGAAGTGGGGAGGATACTTAAAAAAGTAGCAGCAATCAGATTTCACATAAATGAGAAAAACACACCTGTGTGTGTATAGTCACAGACCCCAGGTTTATAAGTTTGTTTTATTTAACAAAGCACCCCTCAATGAGCTCTGTAGTGTTAATAAAAAAAACCCCACTCAAATTCAGAGCACTAAATTAAAGAAGTTTAAAAGAAAGATGTCGATCAGATCTTACGACACAAAAAAAGAGAGAAGGAAAATGGCCAGGATTTACTGTAATGTGCAAATGTACCAGCCACAGGAAGCTGGTGTAGAAGGATGGAAGAAGGGAAGGATGGCAAAGGAACACAGCACTTGTGCAGAAAGTGCAGGCAGCCCAAGCCAGGTGAGAAAATGTGGGGAATTCCAGCAGATCTCAAAGGGATGGAGTGACCAGGCAGGACCGTGATGGGAATGCACAGGCTGGGGACAGGTGAGGATCTCAGGACAGCCACTGGGCACACATCAGAAATGAGCTGCTGGAGAAACCCCAGAGACATCCCCAAAGTCACATTGATTTCCACCAACTGACCACAAAACGATTGTGTTTAGAGCTAAAGTGGATTTTGACATGGAAAATGGTGTGGGAAGTTGTATAGAACGCAGACATACGAAATCATAGAAAAATCTAGGCTGGGAAAGACCTTTAAGATCAAGTTCAGCCATAAAGCCAACACTGCCAAGTTCACCAAATGGAAATAACCTGAGATCTGGTCTGCCAAACTTTCAGGATGGTTTCCATCCACACCCAGCTCCACCCCAAAGGCTCCAGCCCTCTGTGAATATAAGGGTGCTCCTTTCAAGTGCCTAGTTTCAGTTCATAACTAATTCAATCTCTAGCAAGATTGGCCCCAGCAGATAACAAATTACTGATTTTTTTTTTTTGTTTTTCTCTAGCTAATCTTTTTGCTTTTGTGCATTAAGCTGATTTTATTGAACTATTCAATCAATTTCAATTTCAGCATGTCCTTCCAATTTGTCACATCATCTCCAGGGGCATCTCAGTTTGTTGTCCTAATAGCATTATTATTGTTACGACTATTAAAAAAAAAAATGCAGCCTCATGCCCCCAAGCATGAGACATTTTCTCGATGGCATTTTGATCATACAGAATAATTCTCCTATTCTCTTTCTTTGAAAAAATGACATTTTAAATAGCACAGGGCAGAAACTACAGCATAGAGGTAAACCAAAATGGTTCTAACATTTACTGTATGTTTGCTCTGATGGTGATGCTGTGGAACTCAGGAAATGAGCCTGTGGCCCAAGGGGGTCTAGACTAAAAACCCAGCCCCACTGAAGCCTGTGGGAGGTCCCAGGGCCAGTGTTTCTAATAAATCTAACAGATCTTCATGCTACAGCAAAGCAAATGTGCTGTTTCTACTCCAGACAAGGAAAAAAACTCATCTTGATACGTGCAGAGCTTTTAGTCTGACCTAAAAACTAAGAAGGACTTTTGAAGGAAAAAATTATAAAGGAAGGCATAATTAAAGGAACTGTGGCAGATCTAATCTGTCTGCTCTTCTGTCAATCATCTGATAGAATGCCCAAAAGAAATACATCAGCTAAATTCCAGAAGATGGGAATTAGTTGAAAGAATTTGTTAAGCTGGTTAATGGGAAATTAGTCAAGAGTTTGGTTAAAAAGGTGCCTTGTACAGGAGGAATGGCAGCTTGGAAGAAGGGCAACTGAATAATAGAAAGATGTGATCTACTAGCACAAAATACAGGAAAATGAAGCAAGGCACCAATAAAACAAAACTTTCCTGGAAGTTGTTCTATTGGACACGAGGAAGGAGGGCTGTCCCCATGTCCCACCAGCTCCCTGCTGCCGGGCAAGGAGGCAAACAGCCTGTGTGCAGCTCTTGGCAGTGCACATCTGGCACCCCTGGTCCCTGTGCCAAGCAGCCAGGGCTCATCGGGATGCTGGGCACAAGCCAGGCCCTCGTGCTCACTGCTGAGCCCCCAGGACACAACCAGGTGCTGGCACTGAGGAGCCCATCACTGGAGGAGAGCCTGGGAGAGCCTGGCTTGTTTAGTCTAGCAAAATGAAGGCTGATAGCAGATATGATTGCTGTCTATAAATAACATCAGGAGGATAAACACTAGGAAGGCAAAGAAGCAATTTAAACTAAAGGACAATGTTGACACAAGAACAAATGGGTATGAACTGGCCATGAATAAATTTAGGCTGGAAATTAGTAGGTCCTTTACCAATAAAGGAGTGAGATGCTGGAGCAATCTAATACAGGGTCTGAGGAGCAAAAACATTCAAAAGAATATATTAAATTAGGGCTAAATCCTCTTTTTCTAGGTAGAAATTATGACAAATTGAGCTAAAGCAGAAGGCAGATCTCTCAGCATTCTCTGTGTATAAACAACTTTCGAAAAAGAAAAAGAAAAAAAACCCTTTCAGTCCAAATGGCAGAGACTGTTGATGTGAAAAGGCTTGACACTGATCATTATCACTGAACCAGCCCATTCCATTGGCACACACAAAGGACCAGGTGCCCCAGACAAAATTAGAGTTACTGCAAGTGGCTTTTGAGACAGAGGCTGGCACGGAAAGCACCAGCTCAAATCCCTGCCTGAGCCCAGCACAGCTCAGACCCTCCCTTGCTGAGAGAGGGGATAAACGAGAGAGAGTCGTATTCAGAGACAGAGCAGAAAAGAACAAAGTCTTTTAAAATGAAGTCCTAGTAATGGAGTGCTACCTGTGATCCCAATTTTCAATATGCACAGTATTTGAGAAATGTGGCTACTGCCAGTTTACACAGGCAATTATTATACATCACACATGAGCTGGGGAACTGTGTACACCAAAGTCCAGAAATGCAGTAATTATGTGATTAAATTAATCTGCATTATGGACAAAGGGTTTGCAAAATTAGGACCTACATTTTCAAAGCTCTGTACAAATATTGTCCAATTAATTACTACTTCCTAAGAAATGTATGACTAGCTAATTTTAGCACCACGTCTGGTAAAGCAAATAAGGTTACCAGGATGTAGGATGTATTAGCAGGAATTTATTGGTGAAGGAGATAGGAAATCTAAATTCTATTTCTTCCTATGGTTATCCTCACATCTTCTTTATATCTATGTTTTTTTCATCTCCCCTTAATTTTGCAACACCAGTGAGATGAATATGAGATGTTCTTGTGATTTTTTTTCTAAATCATTTTTTTTGCATGGTAGCGAAGACTTGATGTTCATCTTTTTGGGTATCAGAGATGACAAACACACCATTAATAAATACTGTACCAGAACCAGGAAAGGCAATTT